AAAAAACTTTGTTCAATTCCTTTGATACTCTTTGTCTGAAGTGTCGTATTCCAAAAAAAAAAAGAAAAAAAAAAGAAAGAAAGAAATTAATTTTGCAAATTTATTTAATCCATCTTCGAAATATTTCTCTGTTTGTTTAGAAGTTGTTCAGCGAAAAATGCATCTGAGGCTTTTATTGTCAAATTTTACAGATAAAAGAATTAGAGGATGGACTTAAAGAAAGTCAGCAAACAGCTACCAATTTGACAGCTGAAAAAGACGCAATTGAACAACAGCTGGAAAAAATGCGAGTTGATCAACGAGCGGCTAGAGCCGAAATAGATTCGTTGAAAAGTTCTAATGAAATGCTTGAGATTAATTTGGCCAACAGTGAAAAACAAAGGAAAACCTTGGAGATTGAACGAACCGCAATTAAGGTAAAATAACTTCTTGGCTCTTTTATAAACCATCAATTTTTTTTATTGTCTTTTAGTGTGTGTAGCGTGAATTAAGCAGTTTTTCACCTATTCAATGACCACTTTTTGTCTATTTTTGATAACTGTAATTGAGGTTTACCACACAAATACTGGATTGCAGAATATCGCTGATTAACCGTTTTGACTTCTTTTTTTTTTTCGTTTAAGGAGAGGAACGAGTTTGTTGAAAGTAAGTTGGACGAAATGAAAGTCAGGGTGATGAACAGTGAAAACACTGAAAAACGTTTGGAAGCAAATGAGAAGATTCTTGTGGAAAAACAGAATAGACTAAATGATTTGGAATGTGAAAATAGACAACACTGTCAGCAGGTAATTAATTTGAAGTAATTTTGTTTGGTAACAAATAATAACAATACCGTCATACTGTTTGGCGTAATTAAATTGAATCGATAAGCAGAAGATTTCCACTTTTTCTTTTTCAGTTAGAATTACAAAAAAAAAAGACTGATTGTTTACGAGACGATCTTATTGCCGAGAAGTCCCGTTGTAGTGATTTGATATCAAAACTGCGGTCAGTTTATGCCGCAGTACAAATTAACTGCGGTAAAGGTGAAGTTTTGTCGGAGGACGAGGAAATTATTGCATCAATTGATGAAATTATTGTTAAAGCACTTACAAATGCTCGTCGAGAAGCCGATGTTCTTCGCCTACAGCAACAAACTCAGACTACAGAATTAAATGATCTCAAACAAGAAATACAGAGGTTAAGGTTAGTTGTTTCTGTTCCTTAAACTTATACACTGATTGAACTTTCATTACTGCATCTGAATTAGATTAGTTTATTTTTTTTATTTAAGTAAAATTTTTTTTTTTAAAACCGTATTTATTTACAGTTTTTTTCAAAATTTTTTGTTTTTAAAATTAGTTATTTTTTTTAAATTAGCTAATGATTATTTTATAAAGTTTAGCGGATTTTTAATGCATTTTCTTGCAGGAAAAGTGAAAGCGAGGTACTGAATATTACGGACGATAAAGTTAAAGAACTCTCTGTGGAAAATAAGAACGTTAAAGAGCAGGTTGGGAACAATTTTTTTTTCTAGACTTATAATTGAAATTAAAAATTAAAGATGTTTTTTAACTGAGTTTTAATTTTACATTATTTTAATTGGATTTGGAACACTTACAGGTGTTCCTCTTGCAAGAACGAATTCGAGAGTTACAGTTGGAGAAGTCGTCGAAGTGTGCTGAGACAACTGCACTGAAACGTGAACTTGAAGAATTACAACGAAATGCTGTAAGTTATCACTTGTTATTTGGATCGTTGGTCATTTTTGGGTGAATTTAGCAAAAAATTTTTACAATAGGAAATGACTTTTGAATATCTGATAGCCAAAGTGCCAATTCTTCCCCCTTTAGACTTTAATATAGTTGAAGTGTTTTCGTTGCGCGCTGCTTTTTCTAACGATTAATGACATCTTGATTAGCATCAATTTTACACCAAAAAAGTTTTGTATTATTTTTTTAAGGTTATAAGAATGATGATGTAACTAAATTAGGAGAATTAATTGGTCAATTTGTTGGCGTCATTGCTGTCAGTGCTACAAATATGCCACTCCTAAGCAGTTCTTTGTTATGTCTTTATTCACTTAATTTATCACCCTTTTTTTGCAGACGAATAGCGGCAAACTTCATAACGAACTTGCCAAATTACAAGTGTCTTTGCGAAATCTTCAGCTACAGGTAAACTGCTAACCTGTTTATGTAATTCATGTTGATCGACTACTTCTGTAACAAGTTCCTTTTGTTGAACCTTTTAGGAAGAACTGTTAAGGCAAGATAATGTCGAAATGCAAAAACAGGTTGACTTGTGCGAGAAACAGCGTCAAGCAGTCAAAGCAGAGCTTGTAAATATTG